ATCCCTGATGTGATGATGCCACTTCTGTGTGATGTCATCATGTTGGTGACACCATGCAGAGATGCTGCTGTTTGGAGGTGGGGTTTCCCCAACCAGCCAGCTGGCTAATGGCAGGGAGAAGCCCCCAAAAGTGGGGGGTCACCCACTCAGACCAGGGGGCTGGAAACCCTAGAAGGGTAAGCAAGACGGGAGCAGATAAAAGTAGGCTGGCTTAGTGGGAGGGAGAGAAGGATGCAGGAAAAATGTGAGAGGCTATGGGGGCTTTCAGGGAAGGGAAAGAAGAAAGAATGGGTGAAGGGAAATATGATGCCCTGCAAAACCTTGAGGGTCCCTTGCTTGTGAATAAAAATTTATAGAATATAGTGAAATTGCCTCTATTGACATCCACTGATACGACACTGCTGCCTTTCAACGTAAGGTCTACCCACAGTGCCATATGACATAAATTCAACAAGAAGGCTGATGGGATTTCTACCAAAAACAGCATATTAATGCACCTGCCATGCTGCTTTGTGTTGTCCCCTGAAAGCTATCCTTCTTTGGCTACCTCAACCACTCACAATTGTGATAATCTGAACATTTCTAAATCAAGGGAAAGATCAAAATCAAAGAATAGTGCTAGATCTATGTGTCCAAAAGCTCCTTAAACTTGTGTTTCTGAAACAGCAGTTCATCTCCTTCGCTGCCAGCTTTGGAAGCCCACAAGTTTCCTTGCAGAGAAAAGCTTGCGGTTCAATTACCAGCTAAGGTTGCCCTCTTTACTTATTCAGCCTTGCTCAACTACACTGAACTAAATCGCAAGTAATTATGCACGGTATGGATGAAAGTACCTCCCAATGTTTAAATCCCCACTATGCCATGGAAGCTTGCTTGGTAGCCTTGGACCAGTCACATGCTCTTAGGTTAACCTACTTCACAGAATTGTTGTGAGGATAAAATGGAAGAGAGTAGAATGATGTAAGCTGCTTTGGGTCTCCACCAAGGAGAAAGGCAGGGTATAAATGAAGTAAATGAATAAACAAACTCTTATTCGAACGATTCCTGGTTCAAATCTCATGTCTGCCATGAATTCACGGGTGGCTCATGGGCAACTCACTTTATCTCACCCCCCCCCCAAGATGACAAACTCAGCCGTCTATAGACTTCACCCCCAAAATCTCCAGGTATTTCCCACCCTGGAGCTGCCAACCCTACAGGCTGCATTGTTGTTTAAAAACATGGATTTTAATTAGTATCTTTTAATGTTTGTTTTGTAATCTGCCTAGGGTAGGTTACTGGAGATGTGGCATAAACATTTTCTAAACAGATAAATAAATACTATGCAAACTGTTTGCTAATTATGTACACCAAGCACATTTAACAGTTTTTGCCTGCCAGCTGTTTTTCATCTCCTCCAGTCAACCACCACAAAAAAGGGCAGGGAAATGTAACCTGAGCCTTTGCTCAAGCCAGGATTTGTTTAGGTTTTCTTCTGAGTCAACAGCAAAACTTGTCTAGAGAGTTGAGAGGAAGACAGAGCAAGGCTGCTCTGTGCTCTAAAACCTCTGATTTGGTTGCTACAAGCAGTTAACAGGGCTCTGCTCCTGTTCAACTCATATGCAAGCAAAAAAATCCCATCTAGAAAGTTCCTGTTTGTCTGTTTTCCAAGTCTTGAACCCTTGACAATTAAATATCAAACAAACATACACACTTCAGCTTGAAGCATTTAACCGTCATCGAAATGAAAAATCCTCACATTTAGCTGAAATAAGATTTGGACTACTGTACACTTACCTCCTATTGATTTTAGCAGGGCTTCACCGGTTTGCATGAAACTTACTATCAATGAAGCACAAATAGAATCACAGCCTTAATTCTGTTCCTAACTTGGTGGTGGGAACTGTCATCAAGTCATAGCTGACCTGCGGTGACCCTGTAGGATTTTCAAGGCAAGAGGTGAACAGAGGTGGCTTCCTGTTGCCTGCCTCTGCATAGCAAACCTGGACTTCCTTGGTGGTCTTCCATCCACTTGTAACCAGGGCCAACCCAGCTTAGCTTCTGAGATCTGATGAGATCAGGCTAACCTGGGCCATGCAGATTAGGGGACTCCTTTAACTTATTCA